TTTATATTTTTATGATTTTACTAGTAAAAATTTCTTCTTTTTCTATAATATTGCTATGTATGCAAAACTGCACAAATTCTCAAAAGCATAAAACAGCTTGTTTTATGTTTCAGGCTATACATTGCATTCATATGTTCCTTGAATGCAATATGTTCATATACAGAAACAGCAAAGTATAGAAAAGTGTAAATTTATAGTTTACCTAGGCTGCCAGAATTACAAGGACTGGCCCAGTCTGCACTTTGAACAATCTGCCTGGCAATAGAGAGGGGAGTTAAAAGGACATTGCCAGGAAGAGGTTACTATATGATACAGAACATTCTATGGTACATATGTAATTACGTTAACAACCAATTTGGATGTGGGGGTAGATGAATAAAAATGGGATGATGTGAGTTACTTAAAGATTGGAAGGGTGGAAAACTTTAGGATTTTCCATATTTATTTTTTTAGGGCTTGACCGCTCCTGTAAAAGCATCTGGGCGTTGTTGGCATCAACTTACTGTTGTTAGGGGCTGTAGGGGACAGAGGGGAAATGAGAATAGGGGATGCTATTAATGGAAGAGAGTGAAGCTTTTGAGAGCTCAGGGGATCATGAGCACTGAGAGGGGAGGATAAGGACAGTGGAGCTTTAAAGAGAAGGATAAATTGCATGCGGAGTATACAAGGGTAAACTGAGAGGACCAGGGGTCTAAGTGCTGAGATGAACAGGAAGGGCTGTGAAGGACAGGGAATTACTGACAAAGACAGGGGCATTAGGCCTGAAAGACGGACTAGGGTATGGTGGGTCAAGAGCAAGTTCAGTGACTGGGGAAGAGACAGTCCAACAATGTAAAATGGTACAGGAGCCATGAGTTTCTTCCCTTACAACAGCCCGGTCACCAAAATAAACTTGATCTGATATGTTTCTAATTTGCTCCTTGTATCTGAATCTCTTTTTATTTTTTTCCTGAGCACTGTAGTTTTTATAAAATACATAACAAAATCTAGGGACTGCTTTTCCTTTATGTAAAGTAGTTACGTTGAGAAAACTTGGCAAAAGGTGGAGTTTACGCAATGTCCTGTTTCAATTACCAATCCAATTGATCCACAATCTGTCAGTAAAGACAATACCATAGAAGTGAAGAAATAATAAGCAAAATACAAAAAGGCAGCTTTAAACAAAAATTTAAATTTTGGATTGTGGGTATTTTCTTGATGTTGCAATTTTTTCTTTTTTACATTCTTTACTTAAAGGAACACAAAAGTGTATTCCTGACCCTATGGTGTTAAAAACATTATTTAGGTTTCAGGACCCCTCTTGCCCCTTTTTAATACGTTAAAACTTAGCTTTATTCCAGCACCATGCGGTCAGCTGGTACTGGCGCTGGCCCTGCACCGGCCCCGATCTACCTCCTTAGCTGAGGTAATTAGAATTGACAAACTCAGCCAAGAAGGTGGGGCTGGGTGGAGCCAAACACCATATTGGCCAATCAGCATCTCCTCATAGAGATGCATTGAATCTGTGCAGCACTGCCCCAGGAAGCACCTCTAGTGTACGTCTGAGTGACTGCCACTGGAGGTGTACCTAGCAAGCAATGTAAACACTTCCTTTTCTCTGAAAAGGCAGTGTTTACAGCAAAAAGCCTGCATTGACTGATTATACTCACCAAAACACCATTAAGCTGTAGTTGTTCTGGTCACTATCCCTTTAAGATTTTTAAAGGAAATACAAAACATATCCAATATAATAATAGACAAAACAACAAAAACATGTCTTATATAAGAAAAAGGCTTTAGGGTACATTAGGTCCTACAAAATATGAAGACAGTGCATATATGGTAAACTACATTTCACCAGAAACTGTATCTCGTGCCTGGACTGCGTTGAGGTTGGAAAAAAAGAGAAAGGAAAAAAAGAGAAAGGAAAGGAAAAAAGGAAAGAGAGAAGGAAACTTTACCAAAACAACTTGCATTAGTAAAAAAAAAAGTCCTTACTCTGTATCCACACCTTCACTATGACTCCCCTCGATATACTACGACCAGGGAGTCCAATACGGCAAACTTATAACCTGTTATATAAAGGCTGTCATAGATTCCATAAATCTAATATCCATTGCTCTATCTAGCCACTATCCATCACTAGGAACATTGTTAGTCTGCCAGAAGAAATATTGCTATTCTTTTCAAATTAATCAAATTAATTAAATCTCTCTGAAGAATAAACAGAAGTGGTATTGCTAAAAACATAATGCAGAAGTGATACAATAACATACCCAGATTGTGGAGTTATTAAGCACTGTATAGACATGATACGTCACTCTCTCATTGAGTTACATATATTCACTCATAATAATAATTAATCACCTTGGGATGAAATGTTACATTCATGCTTAGGGACCAAACAAAAAAAGAATTTAAATATAAACTCAGGAAGATCTGAAATTGAAGGGAGTTCTTTGCAGTGATTTGGTTATAAGAAATTGCACATTAAGATGAAACCCAAGACCTTTTTTTCAGTCCACCTAGTAGTATTCTTAACATTTAAATTAGTATAACATAAGCAGTGCCCTTCCTGTAGTGAATAGGTCCTTAGGTTACCTGAAATGAAAATTCCCTGGATCATTACATCCATAAAAAACACATTTGTCCAGGTCTTGTTTCCATTAGAACACGGACCCCTTTCTATAAATGTCAGCTGCTCACTGCCGCTTATACTCAGTTACTGTGGTCTGCGCCCCACTCCGTCATTTTGACAGATCACAGGACTTTCTGTTTAAAATCAGCGCTCCAACACTAAGCAGGTACAGCGAAAATGAACCAGAAGATACTCCCTCTACACACAGCCCTGGCATTTATAGACATTTCTACATAAAGTCTCTCTTTTCCGTCAATGTATATTCTTTCACATCTATGCGTTTGAACATTTGGTTCACAGGTTTTTAAGTTGCAGGTGTTCTCTGAATTTTTTAAACATTTTTTTATTTAACATAACTTGCTCTATAAAACATTGTTTACAATAAAATGCATTAGGTCAGGTCTGCTATCACGCTTTTTTTGAATCAGAAAAAGCATAAGATCATCCAGGGCATTTTGTCATTCCCTGATATTTCAGGCCTTTACAGTCTTATTCATTTTTGATAATTTCCCTCTTCTTTTCTACTCTCTGCGCACTTCTGATATTTTGTTTCTGTCAGGATTACAGAATGATCAGGCACGTAGAACTGATAGGTAACGTATACCGGACCTTAGAAAGGCCGGACTAACGTACCAAAGAATAGTCAGGAATAGCCGAGGTCAAAGGAAACAGAAAGAGACACAACGATAAGGAAAAGCCAGAAAACAGGGAAGTAAAAAAAAAAAATGCCAAAAGTCAAATAACCAGAATTACCAGAATCAATAACGCGCTCTCGGACAACCACAAGGGAAACCACGACAGGGCACTGAGCAGGATGAGAACTGGGCCTAAATACCCCTCCTCTAGATCTGATAGATTGTAACCGGCCTTTGACCCCAAAGGCAGTTACCAGGTTCCCATTGGCATAATTGCTGCTCAGCATTAACCCTTCTGTGGATTTGGTTGCTGCTCGGCACAACTTTTCCTGTGTGGACAGTAAATGCCGTTAACCACATTTTTTTTTTTTTAAATCATTCTTTATTTATTGGTTTTGTGTTAGTATCAGTAATCAAGGGAAGGGATACAGAAAACAAAAGAGGGGGGGGGGGTACGACAGTTCCATTCAGACAGGTTTGTACCAACGCAGGGTACGTTTAAAAATATGGTAGTACAATGGTGAACAGTATGCATTAGACTATAATGGCTACCAGTTATCGAACCTGTGTTGATGTGTAATCTAGTACCCTCTCGAAGCGGTGGGGTCACCGAGGAAGGGGTAGAGAGTCCGTGCGGGTCGAGAGTGCGGCTGGCGTTGGGGTGTGTTTTCCTATCTGTTTAGCCGGTAAGTCCCGGTCTATTGTGTCAGTCCGTGTCGGCAGTTGTATTTTTGCTTACAGGTCGATCATTCTCCTGTCAAGTTTTGAGGGACCCTAGTTGGTGTTTGTTGTGTTCCAGCTTTTTAACCCCCGCTTCGGGTTCCGCCTGTCAGGTTCGTCTCTGCGCCTGTTAGTAGGGTGGTCGTCCTAGGGTTTCCCCTGTTCCCAGGTGAATGGTACTTCTGGTTGTGTCGTGAGTGGTTGGGTTGGTGGGGTGAGGCCTTGAGGTTGGTGGTGTCGTGGGTGGCCTGGTTATAGTGGGTCGGGTTGGAGATAGGGGTCGGGGTCGCGGACCGCCCGGAGCGCGGCGTCCCCAAGAGTGGGACCGGGGGGGGGCTGGGGCTCAGTGGTGGCAGGCGTAAGAGCCATGGTCTCATGTGTTCAGTGAGGGGTAGCGTGTTAGCTACCTAGTCGTTTGTTGTATTGTTGGCAGGTGCTCAGTTTGTGCATACGGCTACCAGGGGATGGATGTGTCTCCCTCTAGCCATGGGTCCCATACTTTGTGAAAATGTTTGGGGGTGTCACGGAGTTGTGCTGTCAGTTTATCCATCTGTGAACTCTCTGTTATTTTTCTTGTTATCATTTCTTGTGTTGGGATGCGGGTCGTAGACCAGAGTTCGGCTATGGCTCTGCGGATGGCGAGCGCGATCCGGGCTATCAGTTTGTTTTCTGATCTCATGAAAGGATCTATGGGCTTGGATAGCAACAGGGCCCAAGGGTCTGCCGGGCATGGTTTGTGTAGTAATTTGGCGATTAAGTGGGTGGCGCTTTGCCATAGCGGTCGGAGTTTTGGGCACGTCCACCAGCAGTGGAGGAACGTTCCCGTCTCTCCACATAGCTTCCAGCATGCGTTGGATGGTGTCTGGTGCATAGAAGCCAAGCGTTGTGGTGTGAGGTACCACCGAAAAAGCATTTTATATGCCTGCTCGGTGTGTAACGCATATGGAGACGGAGGCTGTTGCCTCCCAGATATCCGCCCAGTCTGTCGTTTCGGTCGGTGGACCCAGGTCTGCCTCCCACGCTGATATGTATGGGAGGGAGCGTTGTGTGGGGTGATTAGCTATGATTGTGTACAGGTCTGAGATTTGACCTTTTCTGTTGGGGTGGGTCACGCATCCACGTTCAAATTTGGTGAGTGGTGCTGTCCCCGCTTGTTTAATGCTTGGGATCGCTGCAAAGCTACGTAGTTGTATATACCGAAAGTGGTCAAATGTTGTGAGGGACGCGGAGTCTGGGATGTCTGAGAACTGGATAACGTCGTTGTCCTGATAGAGGTGTCCTATTCTAGCAATGTCTCTTTGTTCGAACTTGGCGAAGTGTTTGGGTGTGAGGCCCGGGGGAAACAGTTTGTTCCGCCAGATCGGGGTCATCGGGGAAAGGAAAGATGAGAGATCATACTTATCTTTCGCTTTGTCCCACTGGTCAAGTGCGTGCGTGATCGCGGGTGCTGTCGGCGGTGGTAGGGGTCTGTGTGGCCGGGGTGTCCACATGTATAGGGACGGGTGGTCCCAGCCAAAGATCAGGTGTTCCAAATCCACCCATCTCTTCTCACCCGGCTGTACGTGCCAGTGCTGTATCTGTGCTAAGTGTGCTGCTGTGTGGTAGTGTAAGAAGTTCGGTAGGCCTAGGCCTCCGGATTTCTTGGGGACATATAGCGTGCTCTTGCGTACCCTTGGTTTGCATCCGTTACATACGAACCTATCAATAGCCGTTTGGAGGGCCTTGAAATCTGGTTTGTGTAGAGGGATTGGGAGGGTTTGGAAAAGGTAGAGGAACCTAGGTAGGAGGTCACGCGTCCCATCCATGATATGCCCAGGGGTTTCCATGTGACCAAGTCCTCGTATGCTTTGAGTATTATAGGGGTGTAGTTCTTGGAGTATAGGGACGTGACGTTAGCTGTTATTTGGATCCCGAGATTGGAAATAGCCGACCCGGAGAGGGAAGGTGAGGCGGATCCTATCTAGCGTTGTGGTGTCCATTTGGACAGGAAGCAGTTCCGATTTATTCAAGTTGAGCTTATATCCCGAAATTTCCGAGTATTCTTCCACAATGGCGAGGAAGGGCCCTAGGGAGCGCTCTGGGTTGGTCAGGGTCAGCAGGATGTCATCGGCGTATGCCGAAATTTTGAATATTTCCCCCCTGACCGTGATCCCCTCCACCTCCGTATTGGCGCGTACCGTCCGGAGAAGGGGCTCCAGGGAGAGGGCGAACAGCAGGGGTGACAGAGGGCACCCCTGTCGCGTGCCGTTAGTGATAGGGAAGCATGGGGGTGGGATATTAGGCAACAGGAGTGCCCCCTGGGGGTCGTGGTATACCGCTGTTAGGAACGAGGTGAATTCTGGTGGTAGTCCTATGTGTGTCAGAGTTTGGTGTAAGAACTGCCATGTGAGGCGATCGAAAGCCTTTTCGGCATCGAGCGATATGACTGCTGTTGGGATACGTCTATGGTTGGCGAGCCAAATGAGGTCAATGGCCCTTCGGGTGTTGTCCGCTGCCTGTCTCTGGGGTATAAAGCCCACCTGATCGGGGTGTATGAGTGATCCCAGGTGTGGATTTAGTCTGTTTGCCATGACCTTGGTCATGAGTTTGAGATCAACATTAAGCAGGGAGATCGGCCTTTAGTGGGCCGGTTCTAGCTGGTCCTTTCCGGGTTTGGGGAGGAGGCAAATGTGAGCCCTTGTCAGGTCTGGCGGGAGGGTTTCCCCCCCTCAATGTGGCGTTGAATACTCTGCATAGGTGGGGTAGTAGGATAGGGCTAAATTCTTTGTAGTATATGGCCGAGTAGCCATCGGGGCCCGGGCTCTTGTTTGGCTTGAGAGGTCAGAGTGCCTGTGCCATCTCCTCCACCGTGACCTCCTGCCCTATCGCGGCCCTGGCCTCCTGGGTCATGGAGGGCAGGGTCGCTTTCTGTAGGAATGTGTCTATGCGAGTGTGTAGGGGCTCTGAATCGGTTTGGGAGTTTCGGGTATGGTTATATAGGTTGGTGTAGTAATCCTGGAAAATGCTACCTATGCGAGTTGGGTCATTGCTAACGTCGCCTCCTGTGGTGCGTATGGCCGAGATCCGTTTGGACTCTATTCGGTGTTTGAGTCGGCGGGCCAGCATAGTGTCCGCCTTGTTCCCTTTTTCATAGAACGTCCGTTTTAGCCACATCAGGGGCTTGGAAGAGTCTTGTTGTGTGAGGGTTTTGAGGAGGTCCCGGGTAGCTGTCAGTTTAGTTAGCGTGGCGGGGTTAGGGTTCTTTTTGTGTAGGGTTTCTAGGCGGCGGAGTTCCGTCATGGCGTCTGTGATTTGCTGTTGTGTGTGTGTGTCTTTTTTTATGGGTGGCCAGGCTAATGAGAGTGCCCCTGATGACCGCTTTATGGGCGGCCCATATCGTGGCGGGCGCAGTGTCCGCCTGTGTGTTTAGGTCAAAGTACTCTTTCAGCTCTTTAGCTATTTTGTCGGTGATTGATTTGTCATGCAGGAGAAGAGGGTTCAGCCTCCATGACCATTGTCGATAAATCGACGGTAGAGCGAGGGTGATAGCTATTTCCACATGATCGGACCACGATATAGAGCCGATTTCGGATTTAGTGATTTGTGGTACTAGGTTAGGGGTCACCAGGAAGTGGTCTATGTGTGAATACGTGCCATGCGGGTGGGAGTAGAACGTGTAGTCTCTGGTTGACGGGTGTTGTGCCCTCCATATGTCGATCAGTTTTTGTGAGGTGAGGAATTGGTGGAATAGGGAATCATTCTGCGACGGGCGAGAACGTGCCGTGGCAGTAGAGGTCCTGTCGGTGGCTGGGGTGTGGACTGCGTTGCAATCCCCCCCGACCACGAGTCGCGCAGTTGAGTAAGTGTTGAGGTGTGTGGTCAGTTGTTGCCAGAATGAGGCGTCTGGTGTGGTAGGTGCGTAGATCGAGGAGAAGGCGTAGGTTGTAGTGCCCACTTTCCCCTGTATGGTTACGTAGCGTCCCTGCGGGTCCCTGTTGCATACCATGTCTGAGAGGGGGCAGTTGGCTCTCAGAATAATGGCTACTCCCTTCGTTTTGGAGTCTGGGGAAGGGGCCATATAGCTCTTCGGGTAATGTCTGTTGGTGAGGGGGAAAGCGCGTTGGGCCGTGAAGTGGGTTTCTTGTATAAGTAGGATGTCTATGTTTTGTTTGTGAGCCCATCTTAGTATGCCATGTCTCTTGGCGGGGGAGTTCAGCCCTTTTGCGTTAATAGATACGCACCGCAAGTTTACAGGCATGGTGTCTTTGGTCTATCGCTAGGGCTATGGGGTGGGGAGTGTGAGAAGGTTGGGGGCCGCGCTCCCGGGCGGTCCAAGGCCACGGGGATGGGGAGAGGGTGAGTGGGTGTTGGGGTTCTTATCTATGGGAAAGGCGGGGTTCGTGAGGGTTTCGGCAGGCAATGTGAGTATTGAATCGTATACGCTGGTAGGTGGTGGTCGGTCCAAGTAGTGATTGTGACCGTCATGTCTATCGTTCCTCACCTCGTATGAAGGTGTAGGCGTGTAGGGTCAGTGCATCCGTGCAGCCAGGGTCTGGTGATGTGTTTGTAGCGTCTGCTTAGCGTTCGCTAGCTCCCTTGTCTGTGTCGCGTCCGGTGCGTCAGTGGGTGCCTTTCGTGGTGTGGTCGTGACCGGGTCCAAAGGAGAGATGTTGTTACCACAAAAGAAAATGAGACATTTAGAAAAAATATACATAACATGCAGAACAGTGACAGACATTGCTGCGACAGTATGAGTGTACCATAATATGAATTGTCTTTGTGCTCTGGAAGTTAGAGTGCCTCCAGTGATCTGTTGGGGCAGGGGGAAAGGTGCCCGGGGGCGTCCAGTACAGGGTGCCCCGTGTTCGTGCGTTGAGTGGCTTAGTTACTTGGTCCCCCCCCCAGGGGTCAATCCCCCTACATTATTTTGGCTCGATGTTTGTCTGGAGTTAGGCTTGCCCGTCAGTCCAGGATCAGTGGTCTGTGTTGAATGCATGGGCTCGTGTGCAGTAGTATATCTGTGTCTGCATGTGTTTTTTTTTTTTTTTGTCCCATTTTTAGTGTATTTTTCCCTTTTTGTTTTTCCCCCTTTTTTTTTTTTTTCCCTCTTTTCTTTTCACCCTCCCTTTGGTAGTTCGGCTGGTTGTGTAATTAGCGGGGTGGGGGTCCCCTGTAGTGTGAGACTTCTTGCGCGTCTTTCCCGATGGGGTGCTTTCCATATGGCTGGGGCCTAGGGACTCTAGTGTGGTGGGAGGGTGTGGGGTTCACTGGCTCCCCAGGGAAGGGCCCGATTCCGTCTGTGTGCTAGGTTGTCTGGGGGGCTATGCTTGTATGGGTTCCCTGGGTGCCTGCCTACAGGCAGGTGTCAGTTGCCGGGGTCAGCTGGGCGTGTTTCCCACTATCTGTCTAGTGTCCCCTCCCCGCTTTGATGTCCAGAAACGGGGTTGGCAGCCTGTGTCCCATGTGGGGGCAGTAGTTTGTGTTTGGGGAGTGTAAGATTAGTGGGGTCCCATGGGTTCTGTGGTCAGCTGAAGTGGATTCATCTGGGGGTCTAGTGGTGGGCTCATTAGCGGCTGGGCCCGGGGGTCCCGGTGGTGCGTTTTTTTTTTCCCCCATGTTTTCTTTGTGTTTTCCCTCCCTCCCCCCATTCCTGTTCCATACCCCCCTCCCCCCCACGTGATTTCCCATGCCGTATTTGGCTGTAATTGTAGGGCTAAAGCTTAGAGTTAAAACATGCAACATAGGGTTGCCACATAATTAGTCCTGTTTAGGGTAAAGTCATAGCTTATCTGGTTCCGGGCGACCTGTGGTCAGATAGTTCGTGTTCTCCTGGCGTGCGATGCCGTGGGTCCGGTAGTCTGTGAGGTGTGTTTGCGGTTGTCCTGGCGGCGTGGAATCAGTGGAAGGTGACGGTCCATGTCGTAGAGGTGCGGTCATCTGTACGTCTTTAGGTGGCCGGTTGAGGGTGAGGACTGCTGGGAGGTGGAGCCCTTGTTGGGTGCAGTGTCGGGCCCCTTGGAGACAGTCTTCCTGCTGGGCGTCTATCAGGCTGTTCGGCGGTGAGGTCAATGGCCGGAAGGCCCAGGCGTTCCGCGAATGCTGTGGCTTCGGAGATATGGTACAGAGTGTGTACCCGGTTGTTTTGTCTCACTTGTAGCTTGAAGGGGTGGCCCCATGTGTATCTTATGTGTCTCCTGGCCAGCTCCAAGGTTAGGGGTCTGAGTTCCCTTCTCTTGCGTAGCGTACTTGGAGCTAAATCTTGATAAAAGCAGACTTGATGCCCCTCTATTTGGAGTGGGTTATCTCTCGTCGCTCGCATCAGCGCTTCTTTTATATGGAAATAGTGCATGCGGATGATGATGTCCCTGGGCTGGGTTGCGTTCGGGAGGGGTGCTTTAAGGGCCCTGTGGGCTCTGTCTAGTAGGAGCTCGGCCGGTGAGGCCTCGGGTAGTAGGCTGCAGAAAAGCTCTCTCAAAGTGGGGGCCAGCATATCTATTCCAACCGTCTCTGGCACCCCGCGAATTCGTATATTGTTGCGGCGGGAACGGTTGTTGAGGTCCTCTTGGGCCTCTTCCAGCAGGCGTACCTGGTCTTGTAGTGCTGAGATGGCAGTTTCATTTGTCTGTGCCTGCGTGGAGGTGCGGTCCAGCTGGTCTTCAATGGCGGTAGTTCTGCGTGTGAGGTCATTTAGGCTTTCAGTGATGGGAGTCAGGTGTCTGAAAAACTCTGCAGCCATGTTGGTTTTGATCTCCTGCAGCAGGTGCCTGAGGTCAGCTTTTGTAAGAGGTGCTGCGGCTGCTGTGCGGCTGGTGTCACTTGCCGCCGAATCTGAGTCCTCCTCGCGGCCATCTTCCCCACGTGAGGAGCTCTCCTCCCTGCGGGCGTGAAAGATTGGCGCTACCTCCGCGCCATGCTTAGTCTTGCGCCCTCCTCCCATGTCGGGTCGGTGGAGTGCCGTGGCCGGGATGCTGGGGACCGGGTGTGCTGCCCGTTCGTCGGGTATACGTGCCGGTAAACGCTAATGTTGTGCCTGCCGGTACGGAGCTCTAGCAGAGAGCAGCCATCCGCACCGGAAGTCAGGCGCCGCCCCCAACCACATTTTTATAAGTGGATGAATACGTGACATTACCCCCCACCTGAAGAACGCCCACTGGGTGGGCAGGACCAGGCTTGAAAGGAAATTTGGAGTGAAAAAAGCGAATCTTGCGGCCAGCATGTATATCAGATGCCGGAACCCAAGAACGATCGGCTGGTCCATAACCTTTCCAATCCACCAAGTACTGTAAAGTGCCCCAAGAAAACCTGTAATCAATTATGGAGGAGACCATACTCTTCCTGTCCAGAAACAATTAATGGAGGAAGAGGGACACCTGAGACAGTATATTTATTGCAAACAAGAGGTTTGAGCAAGGACACATGAAAGGTATTAGGAATTTTCAAGGAGGCCGGAAGGGGCAGAGAGTACGCAACAGGATTTATTCTACAAAGGACACAAAAAAGGTCCAAGGAACCTAGGAGCAAATTTCATGCTAGGGACTTTGAGTCTGATGTTACGAGAAGATAACCAAACCCTCTCACCCACTTGGTAAACAGGGTTGGCACCTCGACGTGTATCGGCAAAATGCTTGAAACGGTCAGCAACAGTACCCAGAGCAGATTGAACTTTAACCCAGGTATTGCGGATGGAAGCCAGATGGTCATCCAAAGCAGGAATAGCCGCTAGGACAGTAGGATGCCGGCCATTATTAACACAAAATGGACTGTGCCCAGAGGAGTCATGGTCAGCATTGTTCCTAGCAAACTCGGCCCATGGTAATAATTCGGACCAGTTGTCTTGAGTGCTATTAACGAAACAACGCAAGTATAACTCCACAGACTGGTTAGCCCTCTCAGCTGTACCATTAGTCTGGAGGTGTTAAGAGGATGAAAAAGACAATTCAATCCCCAATTGCTTATTGAAAGCCCTCCAAAACCGGGATACAAACTGAGAACCTCTATCAGATACAATATTGTGAGGAATGCCATGCAGACGGACAATCTCACGTATAAAGATCGGTACTAGGTCTTGAGATGACGGTAATTTCTTGAGAGCGATGAAGTGAGCCATTTTAGACGGTCAACAACCATGAGAATAGTGGTATAACCATCAGAACTAGGAAGTTCTACAATGAAATCCATAGACAAGTAGGACCATGGGACCTCAGGAACGGGAAGAGGTTGTGTAAAGCATTTTCTTGTATTTACCCATGTTCATTCGGCTGTGTCCTCTCCCTGCTCTTTAACTGCCTTGGAACGATTCGTTTTCATTATGTGTTCGGGAAATGTATTTGTTCTACCGAACGGAGACCACCCTGGGTGGCAATCAGAACTTAGAACACAGAGTAACCACACAAAAAAACGCAACTTAATTGAGTGCTCCTAGGTGGCCGCC